CAGTCTGGCTCTTAGACTACAGTAATGAGTTTTACATGTGTATATTCTGTACAAATGACTTTTACCTAATCTTGCAACCAATGGTTAATCTTCTCAGCTTGTTTACAATGTAGACAAGCTCACTGAGCCTTGAGCTCTTCTTGTAACCTAAACATATTAATTCCTCATGACCCTTCCCTGCCCTGGACCTAGAATACTGAATGTATGGGTGTGTGAATATGGGAAATATCAAAAGCAATGTACAATGAATTTATTCCATTTGTGTTGTAAACAATAGATGGTATTCAACTGGTAAAATGTTTATGTTAGGGTTCCAAATAGCAGCTCCCCCAACTCCCCAACAGGAACCTACAGACTTTGGAGCCTGGAAAAGGAAACTTAGCTGATAAGCACCTTGACCTTTGAGGTCAAGAAGAACAAACTCTGCTGAGAAGCAGCCTGCCTTTCCTCTGACCTCCAAAGATAAGATAAGCAGATTTCCTCTTATCTTAAGAGGGAAAAAGTAAACACTTCCAGACCCTAATCCTACCTGCTTTTCCTGCTTCCCCCTCCCTGATTTCTCCCCCAAACATTCCCCCCTTCCACACCCTAAAGCCCCCCATATATAAAGTCCCAGCTCACAACCCGTGAGCTGACATTTTTCCCTTCCCCGAGGGAAACGTGTCCCGTGCGAAATAAATCTGTATCCCGCTGAGAATCTGTGCCGCTCGCTCCCGCCCGCTCTCTACCTATCAGTTTATGATTGTATATGTCTGTATGTGTCTTGGTCTAGGGGTCAGAAAGGACAAAATTCTTATGATAAGATAAGGGTCTGACTTTTACTTCCCTACTTTGCTGGATATACAGCTTCAATGAAACAAAGAGGGAGCCCTTGTTCTGGAGCACAGATCCCAGAGAAATCTAAAGGAACACATTCTCAGCAGTTCAGGTCTGCTCTTGGCCTTACAATGAATGCTAAGAGTCAGTTTTTTATTAAGGCATCGCTATAATGTGGCACAGTGAATGCCACATCAGATCTTAGAAATAAATGGCGTGAGGAAAAAAGAACTCAGTCCAAAAACTCTAGCCCCCTAGCTATCCTGAACTAGAGTTTCTCCACTTAAGACTGCATCTAGAAACCTTAAATTTACTGATTACTGGGCTCTACTAACAGAGGCTCTGACTCAGTAGGTCTGAGCTTGGGCTATACATTCTATACTTTTAACCAGTTCCTAGGTGACAAATATTGCTGCTGGTCCAGGGGACACACTTGGAGAAACACTACTTTAAAGGGTATGAACTTAAATTTCCTTTATGGTTATCCTTAAGCCTTATTTAATACATGACAGAGGGCTGGGTAGATGATTCAGTGGGTAAACAGTGTGCTGTGCAAGTGTGAGGACCTGAGTTCAGATCCCCAGAACTGAGGTAAAAACCAGGTGCAGTAGCTTACGTCTCCAATCCCAGCACTCTTACAGCAAGATGGAAGGCAGAGACAGGAGAATCCCTGGAAAGGTGTGGGCTAGCTAACCTGCTGTACAGCAGCAAACAAGAGACACTGCCTCAAACAACATGGAAGGTGAGGACTGACATCAGAGTCGCCCTCTGACTGCCACACATCCACACATGGCAGGTGTACACACATGAAGATAGAGAGAGAACACGGTAGCCTTTCTTACACTGAGCTTAGGAATTTTTTTTCACTCAAACTTCACTAGAAAGCTGTCTTTTATTCTAAAACTGGAGACAACGACTCAAAAGAACAAATACACAGAGGTAACACTCTGGCCCGATGATTCTCCCAGGCAGCCTGAACACTGCCATATCAAAAAAGTTCCTACTGTTGTAAGCAAAACAGGCGACATAAGATCAAGAGCAAGAAAACCTCAGGGCAGGTTGCCTAGACGAGAGGAGTAAGGTCACGAGGAAGAGCAGTGAGAGGATGGAAAACACAGAACAGTGAAGATCAGACTTTTACTTGGGTTGGATTTCATTGCCAGCTGTCACCAGACAGAAACTACGCAAAGGTTCTTTGTCCTTAGCATGTGCAGACATGTGGCCTTGGCGCAAGCCTTGGAAAGACTTGTAGCTTTCTGAAAATCCAGCCTTGCTAAAGGGCTGAGGGAACTCGTTTTTCATAGCCATCTAAACTATTACTTTGTCCTTTGCTCTGTTGGAACATCTAGCTCTAAGGCTTATCAATATGTTATACAGAGCATATGTTAAAACAGCTGACATCAACAGCTTTCAGCTAGCTATGTCCAAAAGATTATTAATTCTTTAAACACAGTCTTAACTTCATGGTTCATGGTCAACTATATGGTTGCCTTAAGCATTCTTACCCCTTTCCCTGTGAACATTAAATTGCTTTTAATACTAATTAATTGCTTTTTTAATATCTGCATCAAGTCATTAACCTTAGATAACATTTTCTCAAAGGTTTTAGTCAAGATGGTGATGATGGTCATTTTTATGAACATGTTTATCCTAAATGCCTCGCAATCAGCTGCTGTTCCTGATGACTTGGTTTTCTTCCACTAGTCCTCAGGTATGACTGAACAACATACTGAGTATTATACTAGAAATATGGTGATTTGGCAGGAAGAGGGAGTGGTTAAGTCTCCTGGGTGAGGAGGGGAAGTGAAGGCCTATTGAAGGAAGTACCCCCAAAATAAGAGGGAATGAATTACCAAGAGAGATGCCATATGAGAAATCTTCAGTGCCTACTGACCGTGCTTTTAAACCACTGCCAGCATAATGCTTTGTAAATCAGACAATAAAACCAGAGCACAATTCAATGCCTCCCTAGTATATCTGCAGAGTCGTTGCTTTGGCTCTGCCCTGGACAGCTGATCTGACTTCTTTCATTTTGATAACCTGCCCTGAGATTTTTAGAGGATGTTCTATGAGAAAGCACCTCATTTTTTTAAATTTATTATTATTATTTTTTTTTTGCCAGATTCACCAGTACTAACCAATGACATAGGAGATGCAGCTTAAGCTTTATACTGTAAGAGGCCTGTGTGACCACATGGCCACTCTGAGTCATTCTTGGCTACAGTGGCTTGAGATGTATCCTCTGCACCCATTTCTTTTTCTCCACATTTCTATGGGGCAACACATGGTCTTTGTCCCCACTGTCTCCTTATCTATATTCTTAGGAGAGGCTTCTCTCTCCAGTTCCATCCCTGAACATCACCATGCAAGTTTTCTACAGCAAAGAATGGAAATAAGGTTTCCGAAGCATCCCCTGTGAGCTACATACTGAAGGGTTTCTCAGTCCAGCAGATGGGGATGACAGCTGAATGTACTGGAAAGAAATGGCTCTCTGGAGAAGAAGACAGACAGACATACACAAAGCTCCAGAGGGGTCTGGAAGCAGGGGCTGCTAGAGGATCTACTCTGCACACCAGCTCTGGAATGCACAGCCTCTAACTGCTTTCAGTCTTTTAATCCTTTCCTCATCTTCAAATTCAGAAATGGGGGGTCAATTTAGTGAAGCCTGAATCAAATATCTAGGCCTTGGCTAGGAAGCAACTTTGGCTTAAAGCCTATCAAGTGAGGAGGGAGAATGCCCCAGAGATAAATGAGGCTAGTTTCCCCTCACAGAAGGCAGACTGGGTACCAGGTAGAAAGCACTCACTTGAGAGACTGCTGTTTTCATTGCAATTGACAGAAGAGGGGCTTAGAGGCCTGTGAGCTGTCAGTCTGACCACACTTCTCAGTGCTGCCCGGCTGCCACCTCCCTATCCCCATGCCCATTTAGATGTCCTCCTGCTCTCCATGTCTTCCAGTCAGCCATGAATCCACCATGGCCCTGTGCCACAACTGTTCCTGCTCAGCTGAGGCCCTCAATAATACCCTCTTCAGTTGCCTCTGAACTTGTCTTTCTGCCTCTAGACATCTTTTCTTCCATCATTTGCTGAGAACCTATTTGACTGGGTCATTAGCCTATTAAAACCTTTCCAAGTCAGACCTCTCTCTTTACCAGTCAGATAAAATTTAACTTCCATAGCATGAAAGGCTACGAAGGCCTTTGCTCACCTTTGCAAGTGTCTTTTATTCCTGCTGTCAACCTTTCCCACAGCATTCTTCTTAGTAGCTCTGGCCTATTGTGATTCTTCAAGAGTCCCAGCTGCCTCTTCCCCTTCTCTACCAGGCACGCCTTTCCTGTCCTCATTTCTATGAATCCTAAGCAACTTTCAAAGGTCGTGTCAAGTACACTGTCACTAACAAATGCTCTAATTTCTCTGCCTCAGTAGTGATTGTGACTCTAGTTACATTTGGAACATGGTCACATATATGCTTAGAATGTCTCACCCCAAGGCTGGTGGGTATATTTGTTAAACTAGTAATGATAAGGATATTTATGGCTAATATTCTCCAAGCACTTAATATACAAACCAGCCAAATGCGTAATATGAATTAATACAAATTATTCATTCAAACATTGCTATTCTACCCAAGAAGAAGATGGTATTATTATAAAGGTTGAGGATCCCTTATCAGATTTAAGAATATCTCAGGTTTTTGAATACTTGTATAGATTTTACAAGTTGAGCATTCCCAATTTAAAAATCTGATATCCAAAAATGTTTCAAAACCAAAATATTTTGGGCACCACAATCATCAGTTGGCATCAAAAAAGAGTTAGAGTTTGAATCATTTTGGATTATAAATTAGGGATCCTCAATGTGTGTCTATTAACAGATGGGCAAACAGAGGCCTGGAGAGGTTAATCAATTTGTATAGGGTACAACAGTAAATAGTGGAGCCAACCCAGTAAGTCTAGCTCTAAGAGACTTGATTTCAGTGATGCTCCTATCAGACTATGAAACATTTTTAAGTATAGAAATCATTCATGCCAGCATGAGTCCAGAACATAGTTAGAAATATCTGCAAAATTAGTATGTACGGTGAATGCTTTTCTGTTTGGTGGAGCTCAGATATGGCCACGTCTGCAGGTGGAATCCCGAGGCTGCAGTGGGAACCTCTTGAATGTCAGTGTCCTTTGTACTCACCACAAGCTTCTTCCTGATGGTCTCTAGCTTTTCAGTAGCTGTCGCCAGGTCTAAGTTCGTCTGGGCCAGTGCCTGGCGTTTTGGCTCCACATCACAGTAGACCTGAAAGTCCACATGTGGTTTATTCAGAAGGTAATACAGATGCAAAGAGGACAGTGTTTCTTTTTCATTCACCATCTGAACAGATGTGGCCGTCCACATGCTCTCTGCTTCTCCTCTAGTCATTTATATGGACATCACAGTTACAAGTATTTACATAAGATGTTATATGGTCAAACACCATCAATATACTAAAATCAGACTGTCATAAAATGTGGAGCTAATCCTCAAATACAGAGAAACTGCAGTGTGTAGGCACTATATATATAACTCCACAGAGGTGAGGTCTAGCCAGAGAGGCAGCAGGTTGAAAAGTTCTCTAAATGAAGAAAGGGCAGGGAGAGATATCCTCACACCATACTATCACATACTCAGCTTTTTTCTTTTAGTATTTTAGTTATTTATTTTTATTTTATGTGTATGAGTGTATTGCCTGCACATATGTGGATGCACCCATGTCCTGCAGTGCCGCGGAGGTCAGAAGAGGGCTTTGGATTCCCCTGGAGCTGGAGTTAAGGATGGTTTGTAGCTGCCATGTGGGTGCTGGGAATCGAACCCGGGTCCTTTGCAAGAGCAGTCAGTGCTCTTAACTGCTGAACCGCTAAGCCATCTCTCCAGCCCTCAGCTTCTTTTTTAAACTCCCTGACTATCTTAACTGTGTGTTGTTGGACAATTTGGGTAGATTAATTTTCCTCCAGGTAGAGAGACAGGGAGGAGGAGATTAAATGTTATTTCCTACGTCATAGAGAAACAAGACAACACAGTGGTTGTCTAACTTTATGCTCATCTTTCCTCCCAGGGTACAAAGGGAACATAGGGCTTGGGCGCTGGACTGTGGAGAGGGGACATATATCCACCATCATCTGTCTAAACTCTTCCTCCACAAAGGAGGGAGACAGAAAGAGGAAGAGAGGTCTCCTCCTGTGGCCCTATACCATGAAAGATGTAACCAGATTTTACGTCACTAACTTGGAGAAGTTATCGTGGAACATACTGTGAGGAACTTTTCTCTGTAATCCTGAACCTGCATGTAACACACAACTGTCCACAACAAAAATAAGTTGGATCTTCAGACTCAATGGATGCGCATTATTCCCTTTTTATGCCTGGCACTATGCGAAATGTCTGAGACATCGTTGGCAGGGAATAAATATTTGATGAATAAATGGCTGAATGAAATGATAACCTATCTTTACATTGCCTCAAAGTAAAAATGTAGATTAGAATATCTAAAGACAAAATTAATACCATTAAAATACTAAAGCAAATGGCTACTTTCTCGTTTCACTACGTCTAGAATAAAGATGGTAAAATGTTTCGTGTATGAGTAGGAGTTCATTTAATTCAATATGAATTCAGACTTGCAGATTTTTCAGGTCAACATAAAACAACAATTTCAGTGCAAACATATTTTCTATGTAAACTAGTTTTTATTTAATTAAATCAAATTAACTGCTGTTCAAGTATGTTCCTGCTTAGAATTCTGTTAACTCCAACATACTTATGTCTCATCCTTACATCCTTACAACAGCAGGACCTTCTTCCAGTAACTAAATAGGAAATTACTTTACATTTTTTTGCTACCCTAACAATTAATGTGATGGGTGGCATTGGTGGTCTCATCTAGCTGTGGGGCCTGGATGCTATAATACCAACTTGGCCAGGCAAGATATGTCCACTGGTAGAAGAGTGACATGGCTGTTTTGGAAAGAATCAACCACTTTCTGGCTGGATTTGAGACCTGTTTTGCATGAGGGATTATGTGCCTGGTACTGTAAATATGGTCAAAAGCCTGTAGCTACAGAGATCCCAGGCCTTCTGTAGAAAGGGGAAAACTACTGCTGTGGTTGTGCTAAATGGACATATAATCAAGGTGTCTTGTAAACATCCACGTGTATACCCCTGTACTAGCTGCACTGCTCTTAGCCTTGATCAGAAAAACTTCTTTTTAGAGTAGGCAAAGGTTAATGCAGAGACTTATAACTTGTCAGAATGCTGAGAATAAGTGACTGTTGAGTGCTCATCTATGAACAAGTCATCTATATAACTCTCCCCAAGGCCCAGTGAACATTGCAAAAAAGAGCCAGAGTATAAGAGCCAGAGGATGGGGAGGAGTGCTATGAATCATTGTCTTCTGCATATTGATATGGTCATTGCAATCAAGAACTTGCAAGTGGCTGTGGTTACCTGCACAAGACCTTCACAAGATTGGGCCCTTCAACATTCCATCATGAACAGAGGAGGGGATTATGAGGCCACACCCTTCCATGCTCATACAAGCAACCCTAATTAAACTCAGTGGGTCAAAAAAAAAAAACAAAAAACAAAACAACAGAGAGAGAGAGAGAGAGAGAGAGAGAGAGAGGCGCTAACTGGGAAGAAGGGAATCAACAGGAATGGGAGGGGGATAAGAGGGTGAATATGCCCATAATACATTCTATATATGTATGCAATTATCAAAAAGAGAAAAGAAAGCATTAAAAACTAATCTTCATGGTGAACAGCACTCACAGCCATTGGATAAGGACTGATACCTCATAGAATTTAATGATGTTGATGACCCAGGCACAGAGACCAGCTGCTGCAAAAGATTTGGTCCGAATAAAGTTTGGATTAAACTCTGGGTCTTTCAAATATTGTTCATTCACTACTTTTAGACAGTTCTCTGGAATGTGCTCTTTATCGTAGTTAATTAACGCTTGCAGAAAATCATCAACCTGTAAAGCAAAAAGACTTATTGCAATGAACCCATTTTGGCTGCAGAGAAAATTCCAAGATCAAAAGTTAAAATCAGCTTTCAGGACTCACATTACAAAGGCACAATTGGCAAGCTGCATTTATCCCACTGTTTGACTTTTTCAGTCTTTACAGTATGAAGTTAGAATTAGCAATGGACACTTTTAAAACCTCTTCTATCCTAGGGTAAAATATTCAGTGCCAGCACAGGAGGTATTCACATTTTAAAGAAAAGAAAGGCAGGAAAGAAAAAGCAAAAACACATACCCCAAAGCCTCTTTGCTTCACCTTCTTATATATTAGCAACATTTTTTCCAACCTAAGAAATCCATGTAATTTTCTCCCTCCTACACTTAACTGCTTTCATAATTTTGCAAATAATTAGCAACCTTCCACCTGCTGCTGGCATTGACTTAGGTATGCCATGACCCTGAGCTAACCTCCAACTTGGCCAGCAAAAGCTGCAAGACGAGAACAGCAGCTGATTACATGGAGCAGCTGTGGAGACGGTATCTTTTGACTTAAAATCAACTTAAACATCTTTTGTTGTCATGTGTATCTTCTGTAACGAGAGTGTTATGGAAGTTGTTGAGACTTTCTTCTTGCTAGGATGGTTGATTTGATACCTTTCCCATGAAGATTTTAGCTGCTTTCCAACTTCGGTCCTTTGGCACTCTGCCTCGGGGGGCCAGAAGGACCATCACGGCTGCAGTAACGTTGGTAACAGCAATTGGGGGGTTAGGAAAGGCTTTTAGCTCTGTGAGGTTGACCTGAAACAAAGCAGGCACACATCACTTAGGATCAGGGAGCTCCAGCACAATGCTAATTCATCAGGCTGACCTTTAGGTTCCCATCCCTCAACATCACACCAGTGTCAGTATGGCAGTCCCTTGCCAGCTGGGGACTCTCCCTTAGTATCTCTGGAGCTCAGTTCTTGCTGGCACTTCTCTAGTACTCTGGAAACATCCCTGCAATTTTGTTGCTTCCAAGAAAATTTACCAGTCCTGCAAAGCCCTACTCACCAAGACCAGGAGATTTCAAACACACACATGTTGTTTTCATGGATTCTACCAGACTATGAGATGCACCTTGCATTTTAAACAGGCCCTTCCTGTAAACATAATTCCTTAGTTTGGTGGCTCCTAGTTATGTTTTTCTGCTTTATAAGCCTAAGCACGAGACAGCTCTTCCTTACACTATAGTGAACCTCAAAGGGGAAGGGTCTTTGGAAGCTGAAACCTCTTCCCCATTGCGTAATCTCCTCAGTGCAGAACACTGGTTATCAAGATGGAGTTAGTAGTTACATTATAATGAGAGCAAGGGCAAATACTCTGGGGCAGGAATTAGTACCTATCAGAAGTACATGTGGTTCCATAATACATGATTCAAAACCAAGCAAACAACCAGCTACTTCCTGTGGTATTTTATGTGAATATAATGCACTCTTTCAGAAGTTGAACCCGATTCTGCTCCCTTACCAGAAACTTTTTATACAAAGAATGGAAAGGGTATAAAAGCAATAGCAACAGTGAATTCTTTAACCATGCTAATGAGTACTGAGCTGGTTACCCACAATTCTCCATCATTTATAAACAACCCAGTTCTACACTGTGACACTGGTTTATTTTATTTGAGCCAAGATCAATATATTCAGAGAAAAATTTGCATGCTTAAGACAGAAGAAAATAAAGTATTCTCTAAGTGAGAGATGACCAGTTACTTTCACCCTATTTCCACTTTTATTCTCTTATTATTTCTTTCAGAGCACATGAATGCTCCTTCCCAACAAATGAGTCACGGGTATCCCGTTTTACAATGTGCTTTACTTACTACAGTTTCTAAGTTGCTAGCTAGTATTTAACAGTGGCATTTTACTGCAGTAGAATATTCAAAGGCATAATAACCTTCTATCATGGTACATTTATACTCTGCACAGTTTTCTGTCTTATGATACTATAAAACTCTTACAAGATTCTTTGTTTATGGCAAAAATTATTTTCTTCAAAAATGACTCAAAAAAGGAATTGAGTTTTTATCTGAAGAGTAGTAAAAATCTAGATCCTTTTACCTTTAGAGTCTAATCTTAAGAAGCACAGGCCTAATAATTTCCTGGGATTCTATCTAAAGGCTTGAAACACCCCAGGATAAGATTAGCTACCTCTTTTGGAATACCCTGCAGTGAACACAGGATGAACATGGGATTCTCCCATGGGAATCAGAATGTCTCATGAGGTCTCCTAGGATGAAGGTGGAGAAATGGTGGGTATCTTGGGATCTCTGCCCCCATAGCTGATATGAGGAGGGTGCCATTAATTTTTCATGGTACTTTTTATAGTCTAGAGTAAATAAAGAATCCTTTAGCTCATTCTTAAAGTAGCACATAATATAACAGATCGGACCAGTCACTGACCATCAAACTGCCTCTTAGAAGACTAGAAGACAGACTCCCCTGGTGTTAGAAGTATTTAGGAGGAGCCTGCCTGTGTAGAGCAGCAAGACAGTCCTGGGTAGGAAAGAAGCTGAACCAAGGCGATGGTCTGACAGGGTCATTCAACTGTGGCATTCCCTTTCCTTTTGCAAAGCTTTGTGGCTGCTTTGGTGTTCAATCTCTCATTACCTCTATGTTGAGAAAACACAAGAAACATTTTTACCCTGTTGAGTGTATTGAGTGCAGCAGTAGCAGCCACCAGGGCAGGCTCAGCCTTGAGTAAATCAGCCTCACATTCTCTCTGCTTCTGGGAAGCTTCAGTCTGAATGGCAGCCACCTAATTAGAGAGGAAAAGCATCCCCCCCCACACACATACAAATTGTTATTTCGGGGATCTCCATGTCAAAGTGCAGACTGAGTCAGATGTGCTGATAAATAACACATTTGTCTACTCTTTGAACAGGTGAAGATACTTCCCTTCAGCGCAGTATGTACTGTGCTTTGTAAATGCGCAAAATACACAATAACAAATCCCAAATCGAACAGATTCAGATTCAGTATCAAAGTGTTCCAAGAAGGGTTTTGACTCATTTAATTACAAGGTGACAATAATAATAATTGATAATTAATAATAATAATTGCAGTCATTTCTCTGTTTTCCAATTTTCTTTTTTTTCAGATTGCTTCTTACCTTAGTGCTAGCTCCATTATCAAGAGAAAATACAGGTGAGACCAGGAAGCTAGACCACAGAGTATTCTTCCTAGAATTCTCAGTCTAATTTTTATTAATGTTTGCTTAGAAGTCCAGCTGGCTATTCCCTTAAAAACATATGCAAGGGGGCTAGAGATGTCTCAATTAATATTTGCTGTGCAAGCAGGAAGCCCTGAGTTTGATCCTCAGAAACCCACATAAAAAGGCCAGGCATGGTAATAAGTTCTTGTAATCTATGTGCTGGGGAGGTAGAGACAGGAAGATTCTATGATTTGCTGGCCAGCCAGTTTAGCTGAATCAGTCAGCTTCAGGCCAATGAGAGACCTTGTTTCCAAAAACAAGATGAATGGCTCTGGAGGAACTACACCTGAGGTTGACTTCTGGCCTCCAACATGTGCATGTGGGCATTTGCATGCACACACACACACACAAACCACAAACACACACACACACATGCAGAGAGAGAGAGAGAGAGAGAGAGAGAGAGAGAGAGAGAGAGAGAGAGAGAGAGAGAGAGAGAGAGAGAGAGAGAGAGAGAGAGAACATATGCAAAACTCTTTTGCTCAGAACAGAAGACAATCTATTCTGTGGTCATGGATTGCATGCTTCAACAATGACTGAAGTTTTATAAAGACCAACTAATGGCTCTCTAAGAACTGGTAAGAAGCCATTGACACACATGCCCAGGTCCATCTTGGGTAACAGAACAATGACCCCGATGTCCATTCTCCTGTTGTCTGTCTTTACGGGGTTCTGCATCAGCTTCCCCACACAACTGGGGAGTGCTGGTAAACCAACAATAGGAGAGGCTGGGGGTCTTATCCTCCTCTTCTCAGGATCTTATAGAATTTGAATGGCTACCAAGAGTGAATTATTCATCCCCAGCAGTGCTTTGAGCTTCAAAGCTGTGGCACTGGGCACCAGGATCTAGTCCCCACTAGGGGATGGTTCTTGGGGTGATGGTGATTATGGGATATAAAGTGTGAACAAAAGTGCATTTCTTCAGATGTGTTTGGAATGAACAGGTTTAACTACACCATAAAATTAAACACTGTTCACAACAAATTATGTTGTCTGCTACAGCTTTATTAGCAGTAATTATCCTTCTTCTGATTAACCATTATTTTGCTGTGTACTGCACCTTTTATGAACATAATTGGTTCAGGGTAGATATGTGATCCCCTGCTAACACATACACAGCTACTCTTAATGTAAATAAGAAAACTCTGCATGCTTGCTAAGTACTCCAAAACCACAGCCCCAGAACAGTGCCTGAAATGGACATGGAAATTCTGTAGCAGTACACTGACAGCATGCTAGAGAGCATGGTGACAGATGAGCATGCATGTGAGGGAGCTACCACCCTGGGTTTATTTAGCTTCCACAAGGGCATAGTGAGTTTACCAATGTCCTTTGCTAAAATTTATAATAGCATCATTTTACAATCATTTTACTTTGGAGTTATGATCATAGATTTTTTTAGTACCAAGCAAAACCGTGAAGAGTTTTTCTTTTAAATGCTGTTGCTACGAGCCTTGGAGCTGCCATTTGTCTTCACCCTCCTTGACTGTCAACGGGACTATTATTCCTTTCCGTGATTTTTATAAACAAGGCAATCATGAAAATATAATAAATAAAGTCCCAGGTGAAGAAAACACTTAGGTTGGTCAGCTTGTTTTTCATTCTTAATGCTTTTTACCCTAAGATGCAACATTATTAGAGTAGTGAAAACATGTACAATATTGCAGTAGTGAACATTTTGTATAGCTCAGTGATCTGGTAAGCTACAGCACACAATTCCTCTAGGAATGGCTCCAAGATAGTGGTCCACAAGGCTCAACCTGGACAAGGGGAAAGAGCTGCATGGATTGTCTAGTATGGGTGCTCCCTTGACCATGTAAAAGCAGAGAGTTGCGTTGGAGAGAGTCCCATTCTTGGGCACACCAGAAAACTTCTGATATCTATTAGTTAACCACTCCTTGCAAATGTTCATAAAGGTTTTTGGTGTCTATAGTTTCTCCAGAATTTCATGTTAAAAGCTGATCTGTAGACTAGGGACATAGTTAAGGCAGCGTGGATTGCCTGGCATGCACAAATCCTTGGGTTTGAGCCTCAGCACTATATAAACAGGGCATGATTGTACTTGAGTACAGGTGAAAGGATTAGAAATGTAAGGTCATCTTCAGCTATATAGAGAGTTCCAAGCCAGTCTGGGATACATGAGACCTTGTAGTAAGGGAAAAAAAAGTTGAATCGCATTTACCCAGAATTCTTCTGCTGGAGACAGGGCTTGGGCAGAGGTGAAGAAGTTAAAAAGAGTCCATTAAGATGGGCCCTAATCCAATTTTACTTACTGGTATCCGTAGAGAAAAGAGGTTTGGACACAGGGAAGAGCCACCAGACATCAGAATTCATAGTGTAAAAGCCAGTTGAGGATATAGCAAAATGGCAACCACTGGCAGGCCAAGGAGAGGCCTCAGGAGAACCAAACCAGTCAATACCTGGATCCTGACACCTGATTCCAGAACTGGAGAAAATGAATCTTCTGTATAAACCTCTTCTGTCTGGCCCCAGTGAACCAATGCACTGCCCTCCCTGCTTTCAGCTAACATGAAAATTCCTGATGGTAGTTCAAAACCGAGACCCACTCACAATGAGAAAAAATGTGCATAGAAAGCTGACAGTCACTCAAAACCAAGGAGGAGGCCCAGCCTCTAAAAAGACTATATTAGCACCTCAATTTAGAAAGGGATTTCATCCACGAGGCTCACTCCACTGAAGGGCAAAGCAATTTGAAAGTGACCACAGGGCCCTTTGAATCTAAAGCCTGGACCAGATAAGAAGGCTGGTTTTGGTGGCACATAACTGTAATCCCAGCATTCAGGGGATCAGAATGCAGGAGGATTAGAAGTTCAAGGTCATTCTTAGCTGTACAGAGCTTGAGGCCAGCCTGGGCTACATAAGACCATGTCTCAAAAACAAAAATGAAAGTTGAAAGAGCAAATTCAAATTTTCACAGATATAGTGGTGTTTGCTTCGTCTAAAGTCACTGGTGCTGACAGTGGCCCAAATGACTCTTGATTATTTTATAAATTGGAAACATCAATTTCAACCTGCTCCTCTACTTGGGCTGTCTAATTACACAGTAAAGACACTTGTTTTATCACTGTAAATGTGGCAATATACTTTGTGAGCCATGCAGTGTTATGTTTTAATTATTATTCCTGTATTTTAAGCCCAGGGAGCCATTTTCCAGCATGAGTCTGGAGGTTGCCTCCAGTCTGGAGGATGCGACATCAAGAGGTTGCCTCCTTTAGTGATCACATGGTATGTAGCTCATTGCTGAACACATAACACATGTGAACCCACAGCATGTATTTGAATGTCAATTTCTTGACTACACAGTTTAATTATAAACAGGCCTTCTTTTACAATCACTCAATTTAAAATAGATCTTTCCACTCAATCTACTTGGTTTTTGTCACAGCATTCATCAACAACTTAAAGTATTTTGTTTCTCAAAGTGTTAATGGTATCCTGCCAGCCTTTCCCTTGCAATGTAAGCAAATGAGGACACCTTGATCGTCAAGTATTTCCAAGAGCCTAGAACAGGGCCTGGTCCCCAAACCCCAAACAATAAAATAAATGCACACACACACAAAATTAATACTCATAATAAAATTAAACTCCATTGAAAAATGAAAATGTAAGGATGATTTTTACTTTCTTGGTATATATTAGATATAAAAATCGTATATTTCTTTTTCAAGTCTGAAAAACTTTACAAAACAACTCATCAGATGAGTTCTAATTTGCTAAAACGTATTTCCTCTTTAATGCTGGTAATTTTACCTTAGGAATTAACATGCAAAAAATGTGAACAAAAGAAATCTCTCTAGAATCCCAGTTATATTTCCATATCTCCAAGAGATGTATCTATGGTGATAGGTTAATAATTACTACCAATAATTACTAGTATATCACACCCTTGTGTGATGCCTTAAAAATGTCCCTGGCTGGGATCAGCTTCTGACAGTCACACTGCCTATCAACCCTGACTGCTTAATTTAATAGTATACATTTGAAGACATTCTGTACCTATAAGACACACTCAGTGGAAACATATGTTACTAAAATTAGAAATTGTATGCCTATTGGTGATAACTTATCTTTAGCTGTATCATGTTTCTTAATTGCTTAAATTTTGTTTTTTCAATAATGTACTTTTAAAATCTTTTGCTATTTAAGATAAAGAAAACATGCTCAGTACACATCAGAAAAGAGAGGAAAACTGCTTGGACATGCCTGGATGGTTGGCTTCACCGCGAGACAAACGAAGAGGTTTTCTATACACTAAAACACAAAGATGATGGCATGATGGCTGGTGACTGATGGTTAGAAGAGTTTGAGCAATTTCCAGCATTTGATTAACTAGTTCCTGATCATAATCTTTTGTTCAAAATAATCTTTTAACCTAACATATAGTCCTTTAACTTTAAATGAATATTAATGATCTGTTTCCTGTGCCATTTCTTTGGTGAAATGATACACAAGAAATATCTTCCATTTGTGGCTTTAACTTTGGCAAACAAACACAGTGAAAGTTATGTTTATTTCAGAGTTGCTAGAAATCCGAGCACAAAGAAAGCAGTGCCTGTACAATCTTCACGGTTATTGTATCCAACAGTAAAGCAACATACAGAATGCCAGGGCCTTGATCCAGTCAGAAAGAACACATTTAGCTTAGGACTTAATAATAAACGCTAGTTGTATTATTAAAATTCAAAATTTGAAAACCATCTTGCAAAGTGAAGGAATGGGCTTTGTTAACAATTGAGTTGTTCAATTTGCCTAAAAACTAGAAACCTTTAGAAACCTCGGAGGTGACTCCCTGACCTTTACTGTATTACAAATAGGCCTGATGTTCAAGATCCACATCCATTATATGCTTGAATGAGCTCAGTATTTATTGTTCTTTCATATCATTAAAGAGCTAAAAGGTTGGGAAAATGCATAATGCAAAGAAAGGTCAAGTGGTAATCATGGTGTGAAATGCTGTTACATGTGTAACTATAATAATTCTTCAGACTTTATGCTCCCTGGAGAGGAAGTTGTTCAAAATTGTTCGCCTACAAAGGTTTATTTTGTGCTAAATATAGCTCAGCACTCTAAATGGTGGAATTAGCCTGACCTTTTGCTCCTCAGCATCTGCGATGGCCTTTTCCCGGCTCACTTTCTCCGTCTGAAGCCCGATCTTGGTGATCAGTGCTTCCGCGTCCTGGTTTCTGAGCTGTAGCTCGGCTTCTTGAGAGGCCAGCCTGGCTTTCAGATCTCCCACCTGAAGGAAGAGTTGTTACTCTGGAGTAACTTCATTGCAAACAACCAATGGCAGGTACAGCTTAGTTTTGAGCATGGATTTGGGGGTCCCTAACAGTCCACATCATGTGTCTGTTTCTACCCTGATTTAACTTGTAGTCTCATTCATCAAAATGCAGTCTCACTTTTTTTTCTGCACCAGAACAAACAGAATACTGTTTTCCAATAGTTTTGCAGGAAACAGAATTAATGTGTGTCAGCACTAAGCAGAACTTTGCCTTTGCTACTCAGTGTGTGCATTCAGGGAAATCCTAACAAAGGAAGCTGTATCAGAGCACCTCACTCCAGGGCCCCTTCCTTCCTAACTCTATACTCAGGCTCAAGATAGCAGAGGCCATGGAACAGCAAACTTGGTGACCCTGAAGAACAATGCCTTTCCTCAGGGGAAAGCTGCCGTTAAGTTTGGATAACTTGAAGGCATGTGCTATCCTTGACTGCAGACTAACTGGCTATATACTGCAATGCCCACTGACCCGTCTTACCTCTTCCCACCTAACACAAAATGGCCCTTTTCATTTTACTCACCTTATAGTGTTTAGTAGAGGGCCATGTAGACACTGCAGTACTGAACTTAGTATTCATTGAAAGGACAAAGTCTGTGCTTTGTAGGTGTCAGTATGGTGTGGGCTTTAAGTTCAGTGATTGTCACAGGACATTCGCTCCCTTGACACACCACTGAACAGTTTCATCTAGCTCTTGGGAAACAATCCTTGCAACATCAACATATATTATCAGCCAAAAAGAATGATTCTGCCTTTTTTTCAGCTGGGAATCTCTTAGGCTCAGAAGGTAGCACTAGGTTACTAAGTTGGAGGATTGTATAAAACACAGCAGAGGTGAAGTCAAGAAAGACTATGACTCCATCCTCAAAAACATAGGAAATTGTAATAATTAGCTTTGTTCTACATTTCCTGGAGCACAATTATTATTTTTAACACCCATAGATGGACGAAGCAAGCATAATGATTTATTTTGACTCAATAAAGACACTTCATTGATTTCGTCTTGTGGAACAACATCCCACTCCACTGTATGCAAGTAAGCTTGTGATCCCCACTCAAGCATGGCTGCCTACACTTTATCTGTACCACATGACTGTGTCTTATCCCATTGCAGTTTAAATTCAGATTGATTATTTTAGCCTCTCAGTTGGGGTAACTTTACTAGCATTTGCTTCTCTGTTTTTTTAGCCATTGAAACTAGTCTTGTGTTGAGTCATTGTCAAAAGCATCATCCAAGAGGTTGGGAGGGGGGGATTATGCAATTTGAAGTCCCACTTAGGGTTTCTCCAGAAGCAGCTAGCTCTGATACCCCCAAGTGACTCAAGCTCTAGAAAAGAGGACTATCTGAGGAAATAGCTTGTTCTACCTCCATGAGATGATCCAAGCTGACCCTAGAGAGAGGCTTACAGCTTTCTTGGAACAGGTGAGCACTGTTATGAGTAAGACACTTATGTTACCAATGTTATGAAAACCCAGATCAGTGAAATCACTTTAGGCAGAAAAACCCACAGAGAGAAAGACATTTTGTCTCATACATACCAGATACAACCTGGTCTTACAATTCTCCAATGGGAAACCATATTTTCCTTTCATGCTTTTCCTAAAACTGTCAAGTAGCTATTAAATGCTGCAACCACTCTTCTGATACTAGAAGCATTCACCTAATAACAAGAATCCAGCTTCATGCATCTTCACAGATCTCCTTCCTATGGATTTTAGCTGAGGGAAACAGGTGATATGCAAGTTTTGCACTTGGCAGACAGTGGATTGGATCTTCCTCCTCCTCCTTCTTCTTCCTCCTGATTGAATACCTAGCTGGGCTGATTACAAAACAGGCTCTCCCTTCTCCCAGTGGCTGAAACACTACCACCTCTGGGATGAGCCAAGATACTATGCCACTTGCCTTTAGTTCTGTCACTTGGGAAGACAATAAGTGTGGTAGAGACATTATTTTTCTTTGCCAAGGGCAAAGAAACTGACAGCTCAATTTGGGTGACAACACTATTATTCCCTGGGGCAAAGTCAATAGGTTCAGCTTGGGACATCATTCAAAGGGACCTAAGTGCTGTGACACACAGCTCCTTGCTCATCTTTTTGGCTCAACAGGACTCCTAGGAAACCTTTACTATGGGAAGGTTTATGTGAGAGGCAACAGGAGATACAAGTAGGGTAGAGAACAGGACAAAATGAAGGGAGGGAAAGATCAGATGTATATAAACTGGATAGTAAGGGGAAGGGACAGGTGCACACATGTAGGCACACTCCGGGAGGGGGGCTGGATAGTAAGGGGAAGGGACAGGTGCACACATGTAGGCACACTCCGGGGGAACTGGATAGTAAGGGGAAGGGACAGGTGCACACATGTAGGCACACTCCAGGGGGACTCCCAGCACCTGGTCTTTATATTACTTGATCCCATTGATTCTGAAAATTCCATCCCTCTAGTTTTTCTCTTTCCCAATCACAGCCTACCTACTCATTGACCCCAGTGTTTCATCAAACATCAATTCCTGGCGTGTGAAGCTAAGTAGGAAAGAAGGGATGGGACTTCTGCCTACAAAGTGCTAGAAGATGGTGGCCAGAGAACCCTTCAGAGTAAAAAGGGCATTGACGTAGACCCAACAAGGCCTTGCCTTATTTCTATCCTTGGCACAGGTGGGCCACTCAGCCCTTTTAGGGGAAACTGTCCAAGAAACACTGTCCCCCAGAAAACACAGGGGAGTAGAATCTAAACTCAGAGAAAGGCTGGACTGCTTGCCAAAGTCCCCAATCTCTCACTCTAATTCCTCTCACAAGGCACAGTGAAGCTATGTGATACCATTGCTAGCACAGGGGCATTAGATTGACACAGACTAGTTTCAAGTCCCAGCCGCCAGGGCTCTCCACCTTAAACTCTTTAAGTCTCATGTCTAACACCGCTGTAGTGACACACCTGTGGCACATGGGGTTTTAGTTTTAACAATGAAATAAGACTCTTATCCTGTGCTAATTTATTCTTTGGGTTAGAGATACAGTCCTCTGAGGCAGAAGGGGCCTAATGACAGAAGCTCAGACATCTGAGCAAGCTGGTGGCTAAAGTGAGTACACAGAGCTAGGTCAGTAAGAGCTGCTGCACCTAGAATCCCTCCACAGTCATCAGCCGGTCATGATGGCCTCTCTGGGGGTTGCATGTCTAAGACAAACAGGGATTCTAGGTCCATCTTGGGAGGGGGGCAGAATCCCTGACCACAAGCCCAGAGTCCCCAAGAAGTCAGGGACAGGAGAAAAAAACAGGAAGGTGTTGCCTTTCAAAACACACTGCCCTTCACAGGGTCAGGTGGAGAGGAAACAGCGTATCCTCAAACCAGCCGGAAAAGAATAACTGGTCAATCCTTTCCAGACTTAAAAAGGCAGTAATGGTGTGTTCCTTCATGTCCTCAAACTGTACACAGCAGAGCTAGGCATCTTGGATAAATGGGTTAAATGCTGCTTCAAGAGGAAAGCTTTCATGAGGGAACAGAGACTCAGCAGGAGGCAACCGTACCTGTGAGGTGGTGGCCTGCAGCTTCTGTATGCCGTTCATCAAGTGTTCTCTCTTCTGGAGAGCCTCTTCCCGTTTCTTCTTCAATAGGCTCTTAAACAGTGATATTTGCTCTAAGAAACTCTTTGGGGTGGTGTAGTTGTGTCTTTTCTCATTCTGGTAATACCTGGCACTTATTTCCTTTACGCTGGTGTGAACGTGTGCCATGAAAAGGCTAATGGAATCTTTGTGCTGCAGCTGAAAACACAGATATTGCATTTCTCATGAAATCTTTTTGAGTTGAAAATACAATTTAGAAAATAGAAGGAAAACTACCAAATTAGACAACTTTTTTTTTTCCCTCCTAAAGCAAGGGCAAATTACAGTAGAAGCTAGGGAAATTGACTTAATCTTTACAAGATGCCCACAGGATCAAAAGGGTTTTGTGTAAAACATTCAGCTTCCTAACTATCTTCTTGCCAGGTAGGACAAAGGGTTTTTTTCATGTGTTCCACAACATAAAAGCCAACAGATCTTTATAACTTGATTTTTTTAGCTATAAAGTCAATGAAGGAAAAATAGAAAAACCGAGACAATATTCTGAGGAATATTTTTTCTGTGACATTGCTTTCAATCTAAACTTTGGACAAAGAGAATCAATACAAAGTCATGGAAAAAACAACAACAACAAAAAAAACAAAAACAAAACAAAACAAAACAAAAAAACAAAGCCGAATCGGAGAAATAGAGTTCAGTGGGAACCCATGTTAAACAAACTGGATGGTTAAGCTATCAAAACCAGATTCTGAGGTGAAAATGTCACAGTCATTTCTATTCACATTTGGAACAAAACACAAAACACAAAGCAGACTGCCTCCTGCAGACTTCCTGCAGAGTCCCTGCCATCCCTCCTGCATGTCCTCTGTGACTTCCGAAGTAGTTAACTTTTTAATTTGTAGAGCCACATCTCCCTCATTTTAATGATTATTTATTGCATTCTGTACAAGATGAACCAGGTTCAATTAATCAAGGGAAGCCTAAAAATCAATTAATATGAATTAAATGAGCTACACCAACTCTTCGGAAAGTCACACATAATTTACCAAAGTGTTGTCAATAGCACGCAGGCATCTTTGGGAAAATTGCACACAAGTGGCCAGTGATGCAGTTAAATGCTTCAAACTTGGGCCATCAATATCATAACCAGAGATGTGAGCAGAGAGGCCAGGTCCTGCAGGTAAACAACCAACTGCTCCGGAGCAGCATCTTTAAACATCAGATTTCCAACCTCATGACAATTGAGGGGATTTCCAAAATCCCCAATTGAGTGCAAAATCTTTGCATAGCTGACATACAAAACTTGCAGATTCATATCCTAATGGTATTGGCTTTTAGGAGATCCAAGGCACACGTGTATAAGCAAATAGTGGACTAAGAAAAGAAAATCTAAGAGCAAGTTTATATAAATGTGCTTATATCATATTCCCTTGACGACTTTATTTTCAAAAGAGGTTTTGCTTCAAACATAAATGTTCTCAGATTTGCCCCATCCCATTTCGTTTTAACAGGAAGTTTCACACATACCTTTCTACAATACAGATAAATACTTCCTCAGCCAAGTGCAACCTCCTTACAGAGAAGAAAACCCCTGGCCCCTGCCCAACCATGATCCTTATGAGGAGACTCCTCAGCAGCCCTGAAAGCTCCTTTTAACAACAGTTTCATTTGTAAATCTCTGATGGAAAGAGTGGTTTCCGGTAGAGTTGGAAGTGGCCCGGCACAACTTGTCTCAATGGGGCAAAATAACTATTGTTATCCGGCTTAACAAAATGGCACAGCATGGGAGACTCGCAGAGCCCGGGAGCAGCTGGTTGTAATTCACACTGTTTTTCAGAACAGACCTCTTTGATGGCTGGTCTTCCCTGCATTCTCAATTTGTCACTTTCTCTTATGATAAGGTCAGTAGTGACAGCACTTCCTGACATTAACAGCTGTGGCTTTTAAAAGGGTCATTGTAGAACTACTAATTGCAGTAATTTCATTAGCATAAATTATTTATTCTGCCATTCATTTATCTCCAGTTTTCTTTTGGCGAGGGAGGGAATGGAGAGGGGCGCTGCGGGCTGCAGCAGTACAGTGCTGTATTTCACACTTCTAGAAACTCAGGGAAGATCATCGTTTCTGCTAGATTTGCCCCTTCAGGGGAACCAGTTGGCACCACTTTGTAGTCATTTTGCAGCCAGTCGTGGTAAAGGCGAAAATAAAAATAAGCAGTGTGCCATTATAAAATGGTTCTAAATCTGTAGCTTTCCCACTAAGATTGCTTTGGAAAACGATGCTGTCTCCATTGCAAAATTCAATGCAAAGATAAGTCGGCTTTTTCCTCACATTAAGAAAGAAGTGTTTATTTTCTAGTCTCTCGGTTAGCCCACTGTAAACACAGAAACATAAACTCTACGCTGCCCAGTGGGACGACTCTCTGGAACTAACTGTCGCTGCCACACGAAGCACTCAGGCAGCCTTGCTCTTCAACCAAGTGCTCAGTATATGTCCCTTGTTGGAAACGCTAGCAGAAGCTGAATGCAAGGCAATATGTAGGGCCAGCACCAAAACACACATTTTGCCAATTTTTTTAGGACTTTATTTCTTTTCAAGACCAGCTCTGTAAAATGAAATTTGGACTTGCTTTTGCTTTTAAAAGTTAAACTCAGAAAAAAAAAAAAGTTATAAACTTGGGATAATTGGCGACATACGATGTCATATGCTTGCAGGAAGTCTCAAAATGTTTTCTTAAAAAATCATTTGTGCTACTGAGCTATAAAATTTATCATTTATATTTCACGCTTTTGGGGACTGGTAAAAGAAAATGTATTAGCTAAATCCCTGTGACAAGGTGGTTTGTTAAAGAGAACTGAACACCGCATAAAATGAGCAGCGTCATATCTGAGCACCTCTGAGCGCCTCAGCACTGACTTGCCCCAACATGGAGACTGGGAAAGCTGCACATGGACCTAGGCTCCATGAAAAATTAAGTAAGCCATAGCATCCCACATTTCCTCCTGCCCCCAGTGTTTCAGTGTTTCTTCTTTCTGTGCTTTCAGAATAATCACACCTGAATGCAACAATCACTAGTGAGGCCTGGCCTGCGGGGTCCAACTGCTGTGGGCCTCCTTCCAGTGAGCTAGCTTGAGTATTGGCCTCCACCTGTCACCTGGCTATAGGTAACCTGGGGTCCTCCTCATGAGGCTGGGAGAGAGGTGAGCACTGCAAAGGCAGGGTAGGCACTAGTTCTGCACAGCACAGCAACACGTACTGCATGTAGCATCCACGGCTCCCTAAGTAGTGTGAGATATCTTGTTTTCACTTGTTACTTCGACTAAAGAATGCATTTTATTAATTTGCTTGTGCTTTTTACTTTTTGCCTTAAGTTTGGTGCTCACATATTGGTCAAAGGCAAGATGAAGTCCAAAATAAGGCAGCAGTCTTCCAGGTGAGTCTCTGCTCAGGAAGAGATGGTGCTATGATTCTCTGATACAACATGGAAACATTGACACTATTGATGACTGAGGATGAGACAGAGGAAACCTGGAAAATCCCAGTTGCCCTCCCCGCTTTTGTTGTCATGTATATGTGTATGTGTGTGTAAATGTGTTTGCATATGTGTGGGCACACATATGTGTTCAGGTGCATGTGCATAGGCCAGAGATTGACATCGGGTGTCTTCCTTGATCAATCTCTACCTTATATTTTGAGGCAAATCCAATCCAGGGTTCACCAGAGTCAGCTAATCTAGCTAGCCCACCTGCCTTGGGGATACTCTGTCTCTGCCATGACTGCCCATCATTTACATAGATGCTGGGATCTGAACTCTAGTCCTGACACTTCTGTGTCAAGTGCTTGGTACCCACTCCATTATCTCCCCAGTCCCAGCTATCCCTTTTTGTAGAAGGAGAACAGGGCAGGCAGGAGATGGTATAGCTGGTGAGGCCAGCACATCCAGAACGGCCACAAAACTATGAACTTGAGAGCAGAGATGGTTCCACATTCACCTAGCTGAGCAACATGTCTAGATTCCTGACCTATCATTAAAAACTAGACCCTGCTCTATTGGGTAGAGAGCTCCCTACATTAGAAAGCTTCTGAAACCCTGGACAGCAGCATTCTTTGTGCAACACACTCTAAATTTGATTAACAGCCCCAGAGCAAAGAACATATAATACATATATTTATGTGCATGGGTAAAACGAGTTCTGAAGAATGGGAAGGATGCAAACAGTTGTGTTCCCTCACTCGTTTGAAGACATGCTTAAGCCAGGATGACGTTTAGGCAGTTCCAAGAGAAATTTGGGTGCCTTTGGTTTTGTCTTGATACTTCAAAATGGCTCTAGTGTAACCACCCTGTCAGGAAAGGAGATATTCTAAACAATGAACTCCAAAGAATTAAATTTTCCCCAGGAGTTTCATGCTGGGGGGAAGGGACCGGATGAAGCCCCAATGCCAGCTGGAGTGGGAACCTGCCTCCCAGGGAGAGATTTTACACAGCTCCAGACAGCTCATCATGATGGGGCAACGATGGGTAGAGTTACACCTTTACTGGGGCTCTAGTTATACACACTTCTTGCCCTCTATTTAAACCGAAGCCTCAGGTCAGTACCCCAAAGACAGACTTAAGGGCATCACTAGAGCCCTATATATGTTGCTCTTTCCAACATGGCCACAGTGAATGAACCTGTTTTCTCTGCTTTTTTACTATTACCTGTCTATTTGGGGTACAGAGGATAGGTGGCCGAGCCTCACTCATTAGGGCTACCAGGGCCCAGGATTTTACCTTAAAAACTCTGGTAACATCAATTCTCTTCTACGAGTGTTTTCACCCAACAGCATGGTTAATGTACTTTTAAATTAATATTTGCCTAGTGCCCCTTCTGTTTGGTACAATACATGTATATGTTTACACGTGTGGGTACACACGTGTATAGCACATCCCCCCACCCCCAAACTTGTAGACCACTGGAGAAATTGAAGTCTAAATTCAGCAGTAAGGCAACTTTTCTCTTTGAGTGAACAGTCCCTGTGATTTGGAGACTGGTAACTGACTATGCCAGTGCTGAGTTAAGCTCTCCACATCTAGACTGCAGAGATGGTAGTTTGGGGAATAGCTAACTGCATTTTGCTGTAAAGGCAATATGGTGTTGAGTTGTGAGATCACACTGACATAGCTCTCCTCCTCAGGACAGAACTTTTCCTTGTCACTCAGCCATGATGCCTAAAAGAGACAGGCTGCGACCATTCTGCTCAAACCCTCACCCCTCCAGCACAGAGCTCACCCTTGATAGACAGCACATATTCTAAATTACATTCACTTATTTGTCCTTGCATCTGGCCCTGCTTTCAATGACATCTATGGCTCATTTTGCGTTAAAAAGCAAAACCATTTTTTTTTCTCTTAAGGCCTGTTTTTCATCTCGTGTGTTCCTAACTGGAGCCTGTGCACTAACCAGTAAGTAATGTGCTAACCTGCATTCCCAATGTGCTTCCCTGTATGTCTCTGACCCACTCCTAGAAATATGCAGAAGGCCCCCCTCCCTCCTTGCCTCATACCACTCCTGTCATCTGTTTGCTACTCTCCCCTGAGAGGCAGTATGTGTTGACACAGTCTCTGATAAGTAACACAATGACACTTAAGGGTCAAACTATTTGGGTCATTTTTTGGTCAGTTAACATTTAGCTCACTATTGGGGAACAGAAAAATAGCACACACATATATTTAGAGGCAGTCAACCCATATCCCTGGGTGCTCGGTGTGTATTGATGGGAAATTATATGTCGACATACATAAAATAGCTTGCTGATAATGAATCCTTTCTCTGTGGCCAAATGGGGTCAACTTATATAAGTACCTTCACTTACCCAATGAGGTCAATAATTAAGAAGTGCCTAAATCATGAGGATAACTTACAGTTTTAATGACAGAAATTAAAACTAAGAAAGTGATCAAATTAGCACTCACTCAAAACATTTAAAAGCTGTTTTTGACCTTTACGGAAAAGACACCACATGTTTTTAGGAGAGCGTGGACACACTACACTCTGAAACATAATTACTGCTCCTGTGCAACAAATTAGGAAGGTGGGAAAGTTAAATAAGCACCTTACACTGAAATGAAATCATCTGGCTAATTTGTTTCCAGGCATAATTCAGCTTGATAGAAAGGCTAACGTGCTTTAAATTTATTCATATTTGGCACCCAGCGTCCTATAGGAGGCAGCATGACACCATCAGATAGAGCTTAGCACCTGTGCAGCACAGGATTGACTGCAAATCATGCAAAGCCTGCCTCATCCAGCAGGTGTCAACGGTCCCTGGTTGAGCCGAGCTGTGGTGACATCTAGCTCCAGAGGAGAAAGTGAACAGAGCAGTAAAGACAGAGAGCCTACTTGCTGAATCAGACCTTAAACCTTGCTACTAGCTCTGATTTCCTACCAGTGAATGAAAATGAAAACAACATTCAGTAACAAGTACATGGTTTTGCGTCCCCTTCCTTTTTCAGCCAGCCTGATACTATGAACCAGTCAGAATCTGCTAATAAAGATGATACACGCTGACTTCCTCTGACACAGCAAAGTTCTGGACCCCTCTTTTCACTGTTGGAGGAGAACAGCACAGCCCCTGGCATTCCAGTAATGCAGGGAATCTCACAATTGCTTAGACTCAAAGGTCTAAGTTTTTCTGGCAAACTTAAGAAGACATCATTTTCCCCTTTACTTGTGCCTATGCTGTGAGCATGACTGTGGAGCAGGCAAGGAAAAAGAGGGTGGTTAGCACTCCTGTAACTCATATGTCTTCTCTGCTGCATGGTGCTGGATACTGCTTCCCCTGACCCTCCAGATTCACACAGATTTCTAGGAAAAAAATAAAGAAATGGGTTTCTCTCTCTAAAATTCTGTAAGCAGACAGGCTGACTAAACCCAGGTGGACAAACTTACACTGAGGGACATCTAGGACACTAACTTTACATAATAGGCCTTAATACAAATGACAGAATGTATGAACTCCAGTAGGGGCTATAGGAGGTGCCAAAGGGGAAGGGAGAAGGGGGTATAAACATGATTGTATGTATGAAATACACAAAAATTCAATAAAAATTTATAAAAAATTCTGTAGGCAGAAGTAGATGTTTGCTTCCCCTCCCCCGTATGTTTACCTATGTGTTTTTTTTTTTAGTTGAGGCAATAGATAAAATGATGTAACAATCAATAAAGCTAGCTGTGTACAAACTAGTCAACTTTATGAACGTGCTTGGATGTTTAACCATCTGGCCACTCAAAGTACTTAAAAAGTGCTGCAAGGCCTGCTTTGGAGAGGTAGCAGCGATGACTTCTGGAGTAGAGGAGAAGATGAAGGGCTGCTCATGGCAAATCCATCACTCCTTACATGTCCCCACATTCATTCTGGCTCTGAGAGTCACTTTTGATAATGCTGGGCCTGTTCTAGCAGCCTTATGACTGAATGGGAGGCGAGGACAAAGCTGTCTGGGAGATATACACCATCAGCACCTTTCTGATCAGAAAGGTACTAAACACACAGCTTCCCATCTGGGAACCCGGTGGACAGCTTCAGGTTTACATCCCTTTACTCTTCAAATTGGGAGTGCATTGTTGTTGACGCTGCTTATTTCACACAGCTGTTTTCAAATGTAATAGGGGGTACCAATTTCATCAAGAAGTGACAAATATAATCCCCAACACACAAACCCATAGGCCTCATGGTATAACACTTTCCTAGCAAGCACGAAGCCTGGGTTCCATCCCCACCATGGGGGAAAACAAAACAAAATAAAACACCACCAACGAGAAAAAAAACATAAAAGAAATAAATTGATACATATTTTCTTTAGTGATTGTGAAATTAATGGTGGCTAATTTTGTTTTTACCTGCCAGTACTGTACTGAGAACTTTACAGTTAACTATCTTGCCTCATTGAAGCATGGCACAGCTAGGGGTGACATATTTTTGTTTGGGTTTTTAATTGTAGGCTTAATGGATTTATATTTAGCAAGCCTCACAGTGATTCAAGAAATGAGTTGAGTCCGTGTCCGTGCATGACTGAGAACATGTTCATGGGTGCTGTGGGTGCACATGGATGCACACATCCACTTCTACATGGTGGAAAGAAGTCAGCCATTCTCTGTAGAATGTAGTAAACAGTGGTGATTTTATCATATTACATACATGTGGAAAGCTTTCTGATTAGAGGTGTAGTTTGGATAGTATTATCTATTGGGACTTTGGAGGGTCCCCCCCAGATTGACACAGCATACCTCAATTCCCTGGATTTCCTCAATGAACCACCTGCTGACTGAGACCAGAGCCTCCTGTGGCCACGCATGAAACCAGTCAATAGCTGTGCAGTTGACTATGGCTGGGAACTTCCGGGCTCTGACTCGCAGCGTGTGACCAACCGGAGAGAAACAGAAGACAATCTGTGGAGAAACAGAAGGGTGATAAGTGCACAAGAATGACTTTGCAGTCTCAGACAGTGACAGAAAAAGGTGCAGCCAACCATGCTGCTCAACTGTCCCAAAGCAGGACACACGGGAAGGCAGCTTTAACCTCCCATGTGGCTCCTCCACTGGGCGGACAGACGCACTGTTGTGTCCTCCTCAAAATTTGTTCCTCTTCTTTTAAGCATGGCTGGTGATTATCATCAATAGTGGGGCATTTTCTTGTTTCCATATCACAAATAACATAATATTAAAAACTGAAAATAAGTCGCCATGGTATGGTGGTACCAAGACCTCCATCTTCAGGTTCCTTCCATTCTGTAATGCATCAGGTTCTGCAAAGCCAAACTATCTTTAAAAGCCCACTCAAAGGGAGGAAACTCATGTGTGGTACTGTAACATAACCTAATATACATGGCTGGAGTGGTCATAGATCTTAGAGAAAACCCCAAAACTCTCACATTACTAGACTACTGTGATTTCTTACTATGTGCAAAATATGTATCCTTATATTTACAAATATCCCAGTCACCACTCATCAAAGAAGATCATTTTGCAGCAGTCAGAGACTAATACCAAGTACCACAACTGGCCATACATGGACATCGTCTATGAATTGCCCAGGCCTAAGTGGCAATGCAATGCAACCTCTACACCTAAGGCTCATGGAACATAGAACAGGGGTAAAGAAGTGGACACTAAGGAGTCAGTTCTCAATAATGAAGCTACTCATGCAGCGGAGGGCCAGGAACACAAAAGGTCACAAATGGCCAAAGTGTAGAAGTCAAGAGTCTGCTAAATAATGGTCCTTGGACAGGACCCCTTTATTAAACTTCACCCACCCAAGACTCAGGGACTATCTTGGAAGAGGGGGTGGAAAGATTGTAACAGCTCTGGAGGATGTGCATAACCATATGGAAAGAGTCCTACAAGCTCCTGGGTACCTGACCATATGATTGTATGGCATAGGTGTCAGCATACACAAGTCCCATGCAAACTCAGGTAGACAGTAACCCAGCATAGACCTGGGAAAATGAACAGCAGACCCCAATCTTATCTAAAGGAATGTTGGCAACTGATTGCTGCTAGATGAAGAAGAGCTAATCTTCCTAAAACAAGGGACTCTAGATAGGCTGACTAGATTCGGCAGATGGACTTGCATTGGAGAACGGCTGGGTCACTGACAACACAGTGGGTAGTAACAGGGATGACAGCGTATATGGGCTCCAGTGCGGGGGGGGGCGGTATGGGAGGGTGCCAGTGGGGATGGGGGTATAAAGATGATTAAGATTGCTTGAGATGTTTTGTATGAAATACACACACAAAAAATCAATAAAAGAGAAAAAAAGCCAATGTTTTATCATAGTGTATGATCCTTATTTCTGTTTCCATTTAAGGTAAATATGTCCACTTTTGTTCCCATTTCAGATTTTCAGAGGAATTTTTAAAATTTGGGCTTAAACATGTTCCTGCAGAGAAAAGTTTTTGATGTAAATCTGAAAACTTTGGGTAGCCACTTAATGATTTAAAAGTTAATATAGACCTGATTAAGTCAACACTCTGTGTTTGTTATTATTCCCCACTCAGTGGGGTGAGTTTCACAACCCTTGGAGATAACGCGAAGGGTGTTCAAGATACTTACATAAAAGGATACATAGGATGGAACCTATATCCTTCAGTCCCCTATAGATTACCTACTGTCCCTAATGCAATGCAAAAGCCATGTAAACAGTTATCATACTGTGTGTTTAGGGAATCAAGATAATTTTTTAAAAGTTTGCATGCACTCAGTACAGTTGTATTTTTCTCCAAATATTTTCAATCCACTGTGCATCAAATTCAGGCATGAGGAAGTCAGTCACAGACAGCAGAGCCAACTGTGTGTTCCTCTACTTTCTCTAGATACAGGGATTCTGCCAGGAGAGACTGGGTGTAGCTCTAACAGTGCAACACAGAAAATGGATTGGAGAAGCGCTTCAATCAGCAGGGTAGATATGACCCCAAAGGCTGTAAGAGGGGAAGCCTGAGGGAGCAGAGAAACAAAGAAATCTACAGGGAGCCTTCTTCCCCTGCCTCTGTGAGCCTGAAGACCTAGGGGAGATTTGATAGCTGGGAAATGTCTAAGTGTCACTTTGCTATTTTCTGGACATGGCAGTGGAGAATGAAACTCTTGTGGTTCTAAGTGTGTGGTCAGGCAATGGATTATGTCACTTTCTCCGGAGGATATGATTTTATTTTACCTTAAACATTTTTAAAACCATGTGGAAAAAAACTCTAGCATATACAATCCATATAATACTTCATTTAACAGGTTTGATAGACCACGTACAAATCAAGTTAGATGAATCCTAATATCTATATTTTTTTCTATTGTGATAAAAAGTACATGATTACATTCTAAAATTTTTTTAGTGTGCAGTATGTTGCTGTAAACTATAGGCACATTGTACAACAGATCTCTAGAACTTTTTCTTCCTTCATGAATGAAACTTTACATCTATCAAATAGAAACTTTCCAGTTCCCCATGTCCCTAGTCTCTGGCCAACATCATACTAGTTTCTGTTTCTACGCATTTAACATGGTGGATACCTCATAAGGAGACTGTGCAATATTGGCCTGTGACAGGCTTATTCACTTATGATGCCATCAAAGAGTGCCCATGTGTGGCAAAGGACCCTATTTCCTCTCTATAGATGTCCTATTCCATTGTGTATGTATACAACAATTTTTTTTTAATTATTTAATAACCACATGATTAGAAGCATTTCATTACAGCATTAACATATTCAATAACAATTTCCAGAGCAAAGATGCTTCTCTTTCAAAATTAGCTGTAAATTTTGAGGTTCACAGTTAAATTAATACAGTCATACAATATTGAACTCATATACAACAATTTTTAATCCACTAATCTGTCCAGACATTTAGGGTGCTTCCACATCTTGTCTGTTGTAAACAATGTTACAATGAACAGGGATTCCCCTGTTCAGAGCCTGACTTCATTTCTTCTGGCTATATACTCAGATTGCTTCATCACATGGTAATTTTTTACTAAGTTGAGGAATTACCATATCTTCCACAGTTGCACCAGTTATGTATTCTTACCAATTGTATACAGGGTTGTTCTGATTTCTCCATGACTTTGTCAACACTTACTATTTTCCATTTTTGTAATATTTTGTAATATTTCTCCATTATTGTAACACATCCTAACAGATGTGTTATAATATCTCACTGCGATACCTATCACTGACAGTGATGTTGAATCTCTTTTCATAGACCTCTTCACCATTCATGTCTTTAGAGAAATGGCTATCCAAGTCATTTGACAATAATAAATATATGATCGACTTACCAAAAAATGTGACATGTGAGGAGGAAGAGAAACAGAAAGGAGGAGGTGAAGAAAGAGGAGATGGAGGTAGCAGAGGTGCAGGAATGCTTTTTACTATTGCAGTATAATTCATATATTGAGATATTAACTCATTATTAAATATATAATTTGCAAATATTCTCTCTGATTTCAGTTTGATGGTTTCCTCTGTTGATTGTTTCTTTTCTTGTGCACAAGCCTTTTAGTGTAGTGGTGCCCCACTTTCATATAGTTTTCTTTTGCTTCTTGTGTTTAATGTCGTAAGACAAATGTCAAATCATCATCAAGATCAACATCAGGAAGATTTCCTTCTATGAGTTTTTTAGTTTTATGTCTCCTGCTTAATCCATTTTGAATTGATTATTGCATAGGGTAAAGTAAGGCCCAGTTTCTTCTTCCTTTCCCTCTCCTTTCCCTTCCGCCCCTTCTTCTTCCTTCCTTCTCCTTTTCTCGTCCTCCTCTTCCACTACGTCCTCCTCCTTTTGGTCTGGTCTTCCTCCTCCTCTTTCTCATGCAGTCATATTTTTTCATGATATATAAATTGATGGTTATATATTCATTATGTCAAGATACTAGGTTATAAATTGATGAACTGCTCTAATGTGTGCTAGGAACCTTTGACTACAATGCCTAGTTTTTGTCCATAGCTCAGGCCTTAGGCTTCTCTTTCCAGACTTTCCTCCCCACACTTGAGTGTCTCTCTTCCCAGAAAGTAAGTTTTCCACACCTGATTCATCTCTCACTGGCATCAGTTTATAAACTTCATTTGCACATGATTATAGCAAAGGGAGAGATGAAAAAGGTGTCTTGTATCTGAGGTCTAAAGTGTTACTATGACACCTGCATTCCATGTATTTCTACACTTATCATTGGCTGAGCATCATGTCTGAATCACGTTCATTCAACCTCAGCAAAAAATGCTTTTCTTGCATTGCCTTACAGTATGCCCACGTTATCTATCGAAAGATAGTATTACATGGTCCTTCAAAGATCTGTTTTTCTTTTCCACAACTGAAGATATTGTCTTTTGTGCTGTTATTCATGACGGCTTAAAAAATGATCCTATTCACATAGTAACAGTTTCACACTGGGATGGGCAGTCAGTTGGGGAGACTTGTGGCTTTCAAAGGACAGTCTGAAGGTTGATTAGAGATTTCTGTGATGTCTTAGAATCAGAAACTCTCAGGAGATGACTCAGCAAGCTATGTTTTCAACAAGTTGTTTGAGTGGATCTGATGCCCACAAGGACAGCAAGGTAGTTTGACTTTTTCATGGGAATACTTAAACAACTTCTCAATTCTTTCAAGGCAAGGTCTTCTATGTAGCTTCGACTGCTGGGGACTCTCTATGTAGCCCATGGTATACTCAAACTCATGGCAATTCCTCTGTCTAAGCTCTCCTAGTGCTGAGATTATAGGTGTAGGCCACTACAACTAGCTTTTTCAATGACTTTGCAGCTGGTGAAATACTCAGAGATACCAGGTCTTATATAAATGGGAATCTGATAATTGTAGGAATCATAAATCATCTGAATTTTACATCATAACTAAGTTGTAGAAATACATTTGTTTATGCATAGCTCCTGAGAAGGGAAAGGCAGTATGA